AGGTCGTAAAATGGACCAAAACTCACTTAACAGCCATCTCGCTTAGCAACAGAAATGTTAGACTCAATTGTGTTGTAAATTGAGGAATACCTGTATTGTATATACAGCAACTGTATATATTTAATAAATCAATAAATCCATGAGCATTCCCACAGTTTAAGATAAGGTTAAGTGGTGGTACGTAGTTTGGATTCACTGCAGCTTGGAAAGTTTGGTCAGCATGAAGTAAGAAGGAGCATAAAATGGCTCCTTCCTATTTGTTCCCAGATTATATCTATTGTTATGAAAACAATTGCTTTGGTTTGGCAAGATTCTATCTATAAGTGAAGAATAAAGGAAATGACTCCTTGTTACTTTTTCTTGTTCTTGGTTTTGGTCTGACCAGTTGAGGGGAGAATAAAAAGTGGCTAAAGCTCACTATAGCCCAGTGATGGCTAACCTTTTTGCCGTCGCGTGCCAAAGGCGGGGGAAGTGCGGGGGGGATTGCGCGCACATGTGCCCACACCCATAATTCAATGCACCCAGCCCCGCGCACATGCATGTGCGACACCCCCCCCCGCTTTTGGCACACGATGCCAGGGTGGGACTGGGAGGCCTGTTTTTCGCCCTCCCCAGGCTCCAAAGCCTTTCTAGGTGCCTGGGGAGGGTAAAAACTGCCTTCCTCAACCCCCTGGAGGCCCTCCGGAGGCCAGAAACAGCCCGTTATCCGACTTCCGGTGGGTCCAGAAGGCCTGAAAATTAGCTGGCTGGCATGCACATGTGCGATGGAGCTGAGCTAGGGCAACGTTCGCGTGCCCAGAGATATGGCTCTGTGTGCCACCTGTGGCACGCGTGCCATAGGTTCGCCATCACGGCTATAGCCTGACAGCGAGAAGTTAAAAGTTCACCCTTTTGGAAGGACAGTATTTACTTTCTTGGCAAGTTAAATCTTCTATAATTTAATTCTATATCTACCACCTGGAAATGGACTACCAAATTTTAGTGATATGATCTCTAGAGATTCTGAAGAAGGGCCAGAGTCTCCGTGTAACCTACTCCCTATTTAGGAGAGTTACAATCTCTTCCAAAAGAGACTGAATAAGTGAATATCATACTGATAGGCAGAGAAACCACTTACTAAGTTATTATATTTAATTAAGCAATTATCTAGTTGGTCATTATTTATTAAATTTCTATGCCACCCATAAGATGTGGCTGATATTTGAGAGTAACTAATACTGACCAGTTTGTGACTTTCTGTTGTTTTCTCTTAAGATGTATCTGGTGTTCCTGAGGGGGGTGGTGAAAAATATGCTTTCTCTCTGCAAAAGAAGGATGTGAAGACAAACAACGTAACAAGAAAATACTCATCGGACATTTTATTCATCTAAGGGAAAGGCCACAGTTAGAGAAGACAGTATATTGGCATATGAAAGGCCTGAAAAGCTTCAGTAAAAAGCAGGGGTGTTATTCAGCAGCTCCGACAGGTTCTGGAGAACCGATAGCGGAAATTTTGAGTAGTTCAGAGAACCAGCAAATACCACCTCTGGCTGGCCCCAGAGTGGGGTGGGAATGGAGATTTTGCAATATCCTTCCCCCAGGAGTGGGGAGGGAATGGGGATTTTGCAGTATCCTTCCCCTGGAGTGGGGAGGGAATGGGGATTTTGCAGTATCCTTCCTCTGTCACGCCCACCAAGCCACACCACGCTCACGAAGCCACGCCCAAAGAACCAGTAGTAAAAAAAAATTGAATTCTACCAGTGGTAAAAAGGTCTATTTATGAAGCTCCACTGCTACTCAAGGAACAAATACTGGATTAGACAGATCAATGTTTTGATCTGATACAAATCATCTGGTGATCTGGAAGTTGTAATAATTATCTGCTTACTGTTGTGTGGGCTCTCTCTTTTTCCCCCACACCCCGCACTGCCCATATAAATTGGGGCATCTGTTTCTGCTTCTTTTTGATCAATTTGGGAGAATCAGTCTGACAAAATTCAAGAAGCTGTTCATTTTATTTTTAGATTGATCTATGAACCCAACCCAGACATATGACAAAGTGTAAATTTCCCTTCACAATAATCTCACACATTTGACTCTGCATTGATGTCTCCCATTTCATGGACAGCTTGCTCTCAGACATAATTTCTGCAGATTAATTTTATAGCTAATTGTACATAAAAAGCATAGCAAGACATTAGAAGTACTCTTTATTCAATTTTATTTGTCCTGTGACCTGTGTTAGCCAATAATACAGGGAGAGGGAGAGGGAGAAGGAGAGAATAGGGGGGAGAGAGCGAAAGAGAGAAATTGATCCTCTGGAAAGCATAGGCATTTTTTTTTTCATTCCTATGCACAGCTTTCTACTATTTCAAATAAGGAAAACTGTGTCAGTGATGTCTGCTATATGAATATTTAATATGCATTAAATACTGAAGAGGATTAAACTAACAGTCTCATTTTTCCTTTTTTTAAATATGCCATGAATAGAATAAAAAATCATTTTGATTTAACATTAAACAGTGAAATGGTAAAAGCCCGAGAAAACCTATCTTCTTTAAAACCTTAGTGTCATAACGACACTAAGATGTCATATAAACAGAACTGAATAATTTAGATGGAAATAATTGCTACTAACAGCTTGCATGACAGCATGGCATTGCCACCAGGGCCATGGCTTTCAAAAGAACTGAAACAACAGGAGTGTCCAAGGGACACCACCTACAAAGATAGCACTCCCAGATTACTATGAAATTTATGTCATGTTTCTTCCGAACCAGAAAATATTGATAAACATCTTGCCACGCACCAGAGAAATCAGGAGATCCAGTAGTTCAAATAGGTATAAAGATTTATTGCAATCTTAAGTTCTCTACAAGAATCTGAACTACTAAGTTAAAGCAATTTGGTGGTAGATAAGGAATTCAAGATGTTCTAAACCAGGGGTGAAATTCAAATTTTTTCCCTACCGGTTCTGTGGGCATGGCTTGGTGGGCATGGAGGATATTGCAAAATCTCCATTCCCACCCCACTTTGGGGACAGCCAGGGTGGTATTTGCCAGTTCTCTGAATTACTCAAAATTTCCGCTACCAGTTCTCCAGAACCTGTTAAAACCTGCTGGATTTCACCCCTGGTCTAGATTTAGATTTCTTGTGGAGGCAAAGAAACTCAAGACTGATAATGCTTTTGATCCATCCCTTAGGTTGAGCCTAGTCATTTCCTACACATCATGTTTTTGTATGAAGTTTTTCCTGTAAGACAGGAAATTCGTTAGAGCAGTCACTACCTATGTTATAATGGGAAAATTTACACCCTCTGTTAAAATGAAGACACCCTTAAATTGAGCTGAATTCCTGGTAATTGAGAATTGCGTAGTTTTCTTGGTGAGAGTATGGAAATTGCTTTCCACTGCCATTTTTTCAGGATTTAAAAAAAAAATTCCGGATCTAATTTACACTAAAATTCCCTGGTATCTTCTCCTACCAGCTTTAGTTGACTTCTGAGTCCAGAAAAAGCCAGGGGTTGTTACTTTCTGAAACCTATTTAACTCACCTCAATGTTGGGATACACAATGGAAAAAAATCCATTATTTATCCTCTGGAACCCCAATAATGTGAGCAGCAGAAATGTTTTCACCACAGCCACCTTCCAGAATTGACAGGTGACATTTTGCCTCTGGTATAGAAACAACAACAAAGCTATATTCTTGGACTCTATATGCAAGTTTCTGGGCTTGGAAAATCTATTACCCCAGCAAGCCTGCTAATTACTAGTGTTAATTATGTATGTGCCTTGCTTAATGACCTGCATGATTTATGACCATGACTGCCATAAGTTGAGGACTAGCTATAGCCCACTTTGACCCCTCACAATCATCCTGTTCCATTTTGTTCTGGATGGCTGATGAATTGAATCTACTAGTCTGGAATGGGAAAATAATACATAATACAAATATTTTCTCATGTTCATTGGAAGAGTTGAAGAAGCCGCTTGCTCTATGTAGGACCTTGTGGAAGCAAAGAATGCTCCCTTATGACAGGGAAATAACTGTGTAACGGTGAATGCAACAGCCACCTCATATATAAATCAGTTGGGGGCAGGATGACAAGAGAGAAAATAAAAATTTGTTGTTTTTATTTCCAGAAATTCCCCTATAGATAGAAACCATCATGTCATGGCAGGCAGCAGCAACATTTCCCCCCTTCTGCTTCTGGCATCTTCAAGAAGTTTGGGCGAGTTGTCCATCTCCAAAGGAGCAGCCGAAAATACGAACTTGGCAGTTCAAATACATTGAACCCGCAACCGAATAGTTTCAAATTTTTATCATTTCCTCCGCACAATAAGAAACATGCTCTCCTGAAGTATCATTTGCACTGCATAAAGGCCATAACTATTTTGAGCAGTTCCTTTTGGAGTTAAACCCTCCCCCTCCACATCATGCAGAAAAGAAATGATAAGTTTTGATTTGCACAGAACACTTTCGGGTCGCCGGAAGCCCGAAGAACCCAAGACGCTGGAAAAAAAACCTCATGAGAAAAAAAAGTAATTTGCGTTAACATTTAAAAAAAAAAAGCGGATTCCAATTGCAGCCACGGTGGCTCAATGGACCAAGGCTCCTGCCAACTACGGAGACAAAACGGCTCGAGCCCCTCTTAAAAGCATAGCTAACCGCCTTTTTTTTTTTTTTTTTTTTTCCAACCAGCTTCGAGTTAACAAGCTCGCGCGCCGCGGCGCTTCACAAGCTTGGCCGGGAAGGGCAACGGCTTTGAAGAAAAGAGCACGTGACAGGCACCCGCCCCCCGCTGCGCAGGCGCGATGTTGAGACGGCCCGGATCAGCTGGGAAGGAGGCGTGTGCGCCGCTGCCGTCAAAAAGTCGCCCCCGCCGTCGGAGATCGAGCGGCACCAAGAGAGAGAGAGAGAGAGAGAGATAGGCGCTAAGGTGAAAACGTCGGGACGCTCAGGCGGCGATCGTGCCGCGTGCAGGGGGGGGGGGGGGGGTTGGGGTTGGGGGGGGGGGGGGTTGCCTTTTGAATGATTTCAGCAGCTTGGGCTGAGCCGAGCCGGTGCCGGATGAGCGTTTCCCGGAGTTTGTAACTGCGGGGCAGCCTAGTCTTAAAAGCTTTGCCATGATCGCCCTCCTCTTGTGGGATCATCTCCGGGCAGGCAGCTCCGAACTGGACTGGTGCGAGGATAACTACACCATAGTGCCCACCATCGCCGAGTTTTACAACACGGTGCGTAACTTTGAGCGACCGTCCGCCTCTCGGCTTTTGCAAAAGGGGGGAAAGAGAGCGCGCGCGTTTGCAATCGTTGCCGCGCTTGTGGGTGCTGCTTTTGGAGGGTTTTTTTTTTTTGCAAAAACACAAAATATTGCGTTGCTTACACGCTAAGCCGGCCTGGGAGCCGCTCCTGGAATAGTCCGGCTGAAGCTCCTTGCTTGCTCGATGGGCTGGAAAAAAGAAGGAACCTGTGCATCAGGTGGGGTGATACCCCGACTGCCCCGTGTAACCGAGATCCCAGTGGTGGATCTAGGTTTTTTTGGCTCAAAATTATTATTATTATTATTATTATTATTATTATTATTATTATTATTATTATTATTAAATCTTTAGTGAGATTCACAGCCTTTGAGGCTGCTTAATAGCTCAGCAGCTAGAAACCTAAGATCTGTTAAGGTATCGTCGGAGGATGTAAGCTGTTCCGAGTAAAGTGGTTTTTTGTAGAGTCAAAATGTTCAAGTCCGGTAAAAAATTTTTTTATTATTACTATTACTATTTTTTTATTATTGTTATTATTGTTATTATTATTATTGTTGTTATTATTATTTTATTATTATTATTATATTTTATTATTATTATTATTATTATTATTATTATTAACTTTTATTCATTAAACATGAAACTCAGTTCAATTGAACATTTAAAAATTTATCACAAATATCATTGGTTATTTATAATATAATAAATATATTTATTTTATATATTTTTATATTTATGTATATATATATATATATTACATAAATTATAAATATATATATTTATATATAATAAAATTATTAATTGTTATTAATTATTGTTTATTATTATTATTAGGATACACAATTGCAATATAATTCTGTGAGGTTTTTGCTAGGTGTATACTGGCGTTTTTCAACTTTAGTATAACTTTTACAAAGTGCCTGGATCTCGACTCTCAGGCTGCGGAATTCTGGGAGTTGAAGATCCACAGCTTCCTAAAGTGGCTAAGATTTGAATAATCAACTGCAATAGCCACACAAAGAGGAATGTATTTATTTAGCAGGTTGTCCATCTCATATACACAGATGGCTAACAATGAAAATGGTAAAAACAAAGCCGACCAAAATTAAAAATAACTGAAATAGCAGTTGAAACACTCAAAGGAAACTCCGAAATGGGCTCATCCATGATACCAGCGCCCAAGCTAAATGGCAAAACCAGTTTTTTAGTGCCTTGTGAGCAGCAGAGAACAGTTCATTGGCTTTTACGCCTTATTACAGTAGTAGTTATTTGGGCCTTAGGAGGTAACCGCATTCACAGCACATTCACAAGGCACATTTAATCTGGTTACTGAATTAATCCCCTTTTTGGGAGGGAGGTGTCTGCAGGATATATTGAAGCATGATGCTTACTAAACTAATATTAACATAGTACACTATGCCACCCAAAATGCTAACCAAGCTTAGCATGTTTTGAACATACAGCCGTAAATTTGACCTGCTTAAGTTAACCTAGTTCATTTCTGGTCAGTTTAAATGTAGCTTGATCACAAACGTTAAGGCTTTTTTTTTTTTTTTTTTTTGGTAATAGGAAATATGTAAAATCAGATGGATGATAGAAAAATTCCAAAGTTATGAATGTGTATTCTCATTCTAAGGGTTTGTAGCTTTGCTGGATGGATTGTTTTTGGTTTTAGTTAAGTACCTTCTTTGGAAGCAATTCACTTTTCATATTGGAGGATAAAGCTTAAATGGATTGCCGTTGATTAATAGAGCAAAGCAATGGTCTCAAATATTGCAGTCATTTTAAATCTTGCTTTAGGAAAAGAGAATTCTGGACAAATTCAGTTACATTGAAGAGGCTATAGTACTGGTTGACAAACCTCCACAGTTTTACATCGGTGTAGAAATTGTGCTAAACCAGGGGTGTCAAACTCGATTTCACTGAGGGCCGCATCAGGGTTTTGTTTGACCTGGGGGGGGCAGTGGGGCATGGCCATGGTGGGCATCGCCAGCTCGATGTCACTCATCAAGGCTGCCCTCTGCCTACGAAAACAGCTCAGGGAGGCCATGCGCGGCCCACCCAGGCTCTGTTTTTTCTGGCAGAGGGCTGCAGGAGGCTGTTGTGGCTGAAAACGGAGCCTGGGAGGGCTGCACATAGCCTCCCCGAGCTCCATTTTTGTTGGCAGAGGGCTGCAGGAGGCTGTCGCAGCCAAAAACAGAGCCCAAGTGGGCCGCATGTGGCCCTCCCGAGCTCCGTTTTCCCTGGCCAAGGCACAGTGAGCCAGTTCTTCGCTTTTTCCAAAGTGGGCCTGCGGACCTTGAGTTTGACACCCCTGTGCTAAACAAGACGTAGCTTTGAAAATAATAAAGACGATAATTTCACCATGCAAATAAGTTTGCAAAACTTAAACTGCATACACTTTTCCTGTCGTCCAAGTTTAGTTATACTACTTATTTTATTTGGACGTATAAGAAGATAAACCACACCAAGTAAAAAATCTATGTACTTCATTAACTGGAGGTGATTTTGTTAACTTATTCCTGCAATATTTGCTAAGCTACCTGTAGGTCCTGTAGTAGGAATTAAGTAGTTTGTCCTCATGAAACTGCTTTATGATATTACGGCGAAGGTTGTGTCTGGGACAAATAGTGACAATCAGGGTGGATTTGATTTAAATCAAATCGATTTAAATCATGATTTAAATCACTAGTAAAAAGGCTCGATTTAAATCATAATTTTTAAAGAGCAACTGTCACCTTTGTCCCGCAGTGGCTCCTCCTTTGACCTGCTGTTGACTCACCGACAGTCCCAATATTGCAGAATATACAGCCTATGTATCTTAAATAGAAAACTATCTTTAGATATGTATTTATTCCAAAAGCATTTTATTAAAATAAATCCGATAAAAATAAAAAAAAATCTGATTTAAATTTTTAAAAATCATTTTTTTAATTTTTAGTTAAAAAAATGATTTTTATCCACCCTGGTGACAATAGTGGGATTTTGTTAATGACGGCAGTCACTAAGCAAAGCATGTGATATCACACTTTAGAACTGCATTGTTTAATGACGGACATGCCAGTTCCAATTATTGTAACTCAAGGACTACCTGTGGTTAATTTTTCAGCACCCTCATCACTAAATAGGGCAGCCATTAAGCAAGAACTCCTTGTACAGACTTCCATGGGCTAGATCCTGACTTGAAGGGATCTGAATAACCTGTTTCTTCTAGTATCCTCTGTAGTTGAAGCTTACCACCTTTTCTGAAATCTTCCCTCAAAGAGGAAATGGGAATTGTTTCCAATATAGATAGATAAGAGAAACTTTATTGTCCCTTTTTTCTGTGAACACATTAGCACACATTTAAAAAAATGAAATTCTGATGCCTACTCTCAAATACACATACCACACACACACACACACACACACACACACACACACACGACAGTCCATTTAGAATACATAGCGGAAAAAAGACTTGAAAGTTAACAAGGTTGATACTATATGGTATGAAATGATTACAGAATCTAGTTCTGTTTCGGTACCACAAAGTCTCATCCCAAAAGATAACGAAGAAAACCGTTCCTGGAGAGGATGTGTAGAGTGTCTGACAGTAGAGCAAACCTTGGTCAAGCAGTTCTTAAATGCCACGTCCTGGATAGAAGGGAGTGAACTTCCGATAGTCTTTTTTGCTGTCCTCACCACTCTCTGCACAGCCTTCCTACAGTAATACAAAAATATACCTGGATTAAGACAATCCAGCAAGTCAGCAGCATCTGCTACCCCAGTTGATTGCCTGAAGGAGCTGGGTAGGGCGTTGGTCAACAGATGGCAGAGCTTATGCTGTGATGAACTCTCTTTGACCCCTTGATCTCTGCAAACGCAGAAATCGTCTCAAAATCTTGCTCAAATGGTACTGAGCAAATGTGACCAATTTTAACTGCAAATATATATATATCACAGATGTGTCACAACAGTGTACAGGGAGATCTTCACCTCGGCCTTTGCCTGAAAGGCTGCTGTATACAGTGAAAATAGCAAACCACTGATTAATTACGGTCTCCTTTTTGTTATGGCTGTCGTTTGATTAATGGTGCGAAATTCCTACTAGAGAGAAGGAATGGAGAAAAAAAAAATCTGTAATTTTTCTGCTTATTTAAATATTTTCCACTTTTTTTCTCTAGATAAGCAACGTCTTGTTTTTTGTCCTGCCCCCTATATGTATGTGCTTATTCCGACAATATGCAACCTGCTTCAACAGTGGAATATATTTAATATGGACCTTGCTAGTGGTTGTAGGTAAGTTATTCTGAATTTTTATGGGATGTGACATGAAAATTAGGAGTTTATTATCATTTTTAAATTATGTACTACCATGAAATCAAAAGATACCTCAACTGAGCGGGTGTTTAAGCATATAACTACAGGTGGGTCCTTGACTTACGACCACAGTTGAGTCCAGAATTTGTCTTGCTCAGCAAGACAGTTAAGTGAGTTTTGCCCCATTTGGTGACCTTTTTTTTGCCACAGTTGTTAAGTGAATCACTGCAATGAAGTTAATAACATGATTGTTAAGGGAATCTGGCTTCCCCATTGACTTGCTTGTCAAGTCAAGGTGATGACATGATTATAGATACCGCAACCGTCATAAATACGTGCCAATTGCCAACCATCCATATTTTTATCACATGATATTGGGGATGCTGCAAAAGTCTTAAGTGTGAAAAAAGGTAATAAGTCACATTTTTTCAGTGCTGTTGTAACTTTGAACAATCATAAATGAATGGGTTGTAAGTTGAGGATTACATGTAATTCAGAAGCAGAATATGTACTCAAAAAGAAGAACAGTATTGGAAACTGATACCATCATGACCCCTTTAATGTATCATATAATAGCCTTACTAATATATTCATCTTACTTCACTGATTTCTTTGGCTATTACAACTGATGTAGCAATCCAGTTTTTGCTAAGTTATGTTGTCACTCTTTTTGTCCATAAGTTCTGTTCCCATAGAAATCTGAAGAAATACCCAGTCGTTAAAATACAAACACACAGAAACAACCCAAGTCAAAATTGTTTAATCTTATTTTTTTTATTTTGGATAAGCATGATTGCACTCTGTTTCTCTTCCTTGACTGAGAATTGGATTGTACAATATTTTACTTTTATGTATTTATTTATTTAAAATATTTATATAGCCGTTCATCTGGGCGTCTCCTAAACAAATATTATCATAAAAGTGTAATTTAAATACCATTCTATTAAGAAAGTCACATAACTAGCAATTTATGTTACAGAACATCTTCTTGACATTATCTTCAGTTAGGTAGACAACGAGGTGTTGTCCATATACTTTTAAATAAAAATTCCACATTCCTGTGTCATTGTTCAAAGTGTCTAGACCTGATGTGAATTGAAGTCCAAAACATATAACTGGTGCTCTTCCCTGTATGAAATCTCAGTGAATGGGGAAAACGGTTTGGAGTAGTGGTGAAGGTACTGGCCTGACTTGAGTTTAGGCACAAATGCCAGCTGAGTGACTTTGAGCAGTCTTACTACCTCACAGGATTGTTGTGGGGAAAAGAGGAGGCAGGAGTATTACGTGGTAAACTATGAGCATCCTAGACCAAGCCAAGGTCTAAAAAACACTACAGAATTTCTGGAAGCCTGGCACTGGGACAAATCAGCAATCAACAGGCACATATAGCAATAGCACTTAGACTTACATACCACAGTGTTTTACAGCCCTCTCTAAGTGGTTTACAGAGTCAGCATATTGCCCCCAACAATCTGGATCCTCATTTTACTGACCTCGGAAAGATGGAAGGCTGAGTCAACCTTGAGCCTGGTGAGATTCGAACTGCCAAATTGCAGGCAGCCGGCAATCAGCAGAAGTAGCCTGCAATACTGCACTCTAACCACTGCGCCACCCCGGCTCATGAAGATATAGATAAACAACATCTACATATCATTCAAAAGAGACAATCGCAAAGCCAAAAAAAGAGAAAGATCAAAAAGAAAACTCCAAAGACCATTAATCAATACCCAGATGAGCAGAGATTAACACCAAGATTAACATTAGAACAATAATCAAGAAGTAAACAAAACCCCAATCAAGGAAGCACCAACTCAGACAAACAAACAGTAAATGAGAGCTTAATCAAGAAACCACCAAGAACATTTCCACCAAGACTGAGAAGAAAATCCACTAATCCACTAGGGTTGTTAACCTCCCGGCCTGCGGGCCAGATGCATCATGCGTTGGCCATGCCCACACCCGGTTTAGCGAAGGGGAAAAAAGTCCCCATACGTCACATAATGCCGCCTGACGCCACAAGTTTGACACCCCTGCACTAGTATATAAAAAGAGAGCAAACCTCACTGATGATATTACCTAGTTTGGTAATGAAACATCTGCAAGAAAACAATTTCAGAGAGCACCAAGAGCCCCTCATTTCAACCCTGAGTTACAAATATTCTCTTCTATTGAAGTATTAAGTATGTTTACCACTTGGAGTTGACCAAATGCAGTATATAAAAAAAGCAGAATAAAAATCTAAGTAAAAAATTATGTGGGAAAATCACCCATTACTCCACTGTAGACCAAAGGACCGTGTAAGATTTGTCCTGCTTCAGCGCTTTTAAGAACCTCAAATTAAATATTTCTATAAGACTCGCTGGCCAAGCAAAATCTTCACAAATTGAAGATTTGGCGGAAAAGTACATTAAAATTAATGTTGATTTTGGAGGGTGAATGTTGCCTTTCTTTTATAACTTGGCTTTTCATCTTGTACAGTATGTTTCATCTAATGTGTAAAGGTTTAATTTTTCAGACGTTGGAAAATAATGATATGCCCATGCCTTAGTGGTAGAATAATACTTGTTTACTGTATCTCTCTAGGAATTGGATCTGTCTACTTCCATGCTACGCTTAGCTTCCTGGGTCAGATGCTCGATGAACTTGCTATACTTTGGGTTCTGATGTGTGCTCTGGCTATGTGGTTCCCCAGAAGGTATCTGCCCAAAATGTTTAGGAATGACAGGTAAATATCTCTGGAAAGCATTGTGTTCAGCTTTTTATGCCTTAATATCATGACTGTTTTCTTGAAAGAAGGAACACAGAAAGAAGATTCTTGACAAAAAACAAGTGCAGGAAATTCGAACTGATGTGTTGTAAACTAGCTTTAGATTTATCTTTATATAGGCAAGCAGATTGGGATTTAGTTCCATTACAGCTTCTCCAACTTGCAGCTAACCTCCCTGTGTTACGGTCTTCCTATTGCTGCCAGTGCTAGACAAATGACAAAGCAGAAGACTCCAGTTTGTCCCCAAAATTTAAGATTAGGGAAAGTGTATCTATGTAGCTACCTCATAACACTGATGCAAAAAAAAAGGGAAGAAGATAAATGTTAAAGTTCAAAATTGTCTTGCATGTTGAATTAAGGAGGAAAATTAAAGGGCACTATCTTGATGGAATTTACCCAGTTAGGAAGAACTACACAAACTAGTTTGGTCCAGTAGTTAAGGCACCACTCTAGAAATCAGGAGATGATGGATTTCCTGCCTTAGGTGTGAAAACTGGCTAGGTGACCTTGGATCAGTCACACACTCTCAGCCTAACTCACAGGGCTGTCGTAGAGGAGGGATAATAGGAGGAGTAAAGAGTACTAGGTATGATCACTGCTTTGCGATGTCTATAAAAGCAATACATGTGGGATATAAATTAAATAAAATAAATCCATGCCCCAATGGGTCATTGGTTCAGAGATATTTCCTTACTTAAACAGAGAAACAGAATGACCGTGGATGGGCAAAACGGTGAGAGTAGGAGCTATTTCCAACTTCCTGTTGAGTTTCCTTGTGGAAAACTGATGGGCAGCATTAGAAATCCCCTTCCCTTCCCTGCTTCTGCCCTCCCGCAAATGGTGTGTTGGGCTGTGAATCAGGAATTGTATATGGGGATGTGCAAGAGGTGCTGCTCAGTTCAGGAAGAGGGTGTGTGCATGTGTAAGAGAGGCCACATGTGTCAGGTAGTATGCAGCCCCTTTGGGGGGGGATCATGGGGAGGTGTAAGAGATGCCACATTGGTCAGGTAGGGCACGCAAAAGTGTGGCACAGGTCACAAATGGTGTGTGTGGGTTGCAGGGCTGTATGAGAGGTGTCTTGTAGATGGGAGAGGGCACATGGGGAGGTTGCGGGTAGAGAAAGGTGCCTCGGGATGCTTGAGAGTATATGAGATGTGCCATGCAGGTCAGGGATGTTGCATGGGGGCCAGTGTGGGTCAGGAAGGCTGCTTGGCCTTTATTCCTTCCCTATTCAACTTCTCTTTCAGCAAGTTAAGTGGCTGGTGCTGGGTGGGGGAGGAGCAAGGAATTGCTTGACTGGCTGGGAAACTGTCATGAAATGTTGAAAATGAAGTTCACGTGATCATAGCAGCAGTGCAGCAGCAGCCATCAGCTCTGAAGCAGCCATAACTTTCTCAAATTTCACTCCCTCAAAAATCATGGGTCTGGATTTTGGACACATACTGTAAATTAGCTCATTTGAAGTACCTTGGTTTAAAGTTGGTGCCCTAGGATGCACTGGTTTGCCCAGTTAAAAGTCATGACAATGCGAGTTTTAGTAGTATATAAATATCCCATAGGGCAAGGGTGGGCAAATGTGGCCCTTTTATAACCTGTCGTCTTCAACTCTATATGAGGAACTAAAAAAAGGGGGAGTTGAAGACCACAGGTTGTAAAAGGGCCACATTTGCCCACCCCTGCCATAGGGTAATATGGCTAAATTTATTCTGAGTGAATTACTGAAATCTAGTTTTTCTGCCTGGATTCTTCAATACTGTACAACATAGCTGCCACCGATATATTATTCAATTCTTTTGTACTTAGGATGCTCCTCATAATGTTATACAGATAATGCCGAGCAGGCTGAAATACTGACACAAGGAAGAAAGCTATGAAAAGGCTTAGGATTTTCCCAGTGGCATGTTTGTTGGAGGTTGCTGGGGTAATGAGAGAGAATTGGGTTAGAGATGGTTGGTCTAATCCCTCAGCAGCTCTTCCCCAAAAGATTATAGGATTAACGTGTAGCCCCTGAGCCTCAGAGCAAAGGCGAGAGGAGCAGAGATATCATATTTGCAATTAATCCTTTTCTTTTGTTCTATCTCTCATAAGTATATGGCCGATTATTCACCAAGGATTTATTTGCCATGTGACAAAATTACGAAAAATAGCTTAGTCCTTCCCCCAGTGTAGCACCTTTTACATCGATTAAACTACAGCTCCCATTGTCATCAGGCAATCTGAATTAAAGAAATTACCCTTTACTTTAGGGGTTTATAGCCATCTCACTTCAGAGACGGTTGATGATTTATTGAACAAAAGTCAGTAATTAAAAATATATGCATATGCACATACAGATGATAGATAGATAGATAGATAGATAGATAGATAGATAGATAGATAGATAGATAGATAGACAGACATGATAGATGATAGATAGATAGATTGATAGATGATAGACAGACAGATGATAGATAGATAGACAGATGATAGATAGATAGATAGACAGATGATAGATAGATGATAAACAGACAGACAGATAGATACTGTGTTTCCCCAAAAATTAGACCCTGTCTTACATTTTTTTGAACCCTAAAATAAGCGCAGCCCGATTGGGCTTATTATCAGGGGATGTCTTATTTTGGGGAAAACAGGGCAGACAGACAGGCAGGCAGGCAGGCAGGCAGGCAGGCAGGCAGGCAGGCAGGCAGGCAGACAGGGCAGATAGGTAGATAGATAGGTAGATAGATAGATAGATAGATAGATAGATAGATAGATAGATAGATAGATAGATAGATAGATGATAGATAGATAGATAGATAGATCTAGATAGAACTATAGATATAAATACACACATTGTATACACACACACACACACACAAAAACAAACGTCTGGGAATGTAGATCTTTGGTGGAGAAGTCTCCATCCTTTTGGTGGTCCACAACATTCCTAGGCTTCAGCATTACTATCACTCTGAGGTAGCATTGTGGTTGAGCCCTAACAGATGCGAGTGTTCTGGCTGACATTGATTGGGGATTATATATTGCAATGGTGGGAGCGGCTTGAGATACTGGATCTGCCCCTGAGGACACACCCCGATGGCTGGCAAGGTAGGCAGAAAGTCTGACGGAGCTAAACACAGCCGCAGAAGTCCCATTCAGTAAATAAAAGTGCAAGAGTGCAAGGTTTCTACAGAGAATTTTACTATGGTGGGTGGTTCAGCTTTGCTAAAATCCTCTGGTTATGATAAGGATGCATTGCACTTTTGCACTTCTCCTTCATCCCCGCTGCTAAATCTGGCCTTGCTGCCAAAATGTGGTTGGAAGGGCTTTCATAATTTAGGTCTATTTAAAACCATTGCCTCTTTCACAGCTAATGGAAGTCAGATCAGTCTCATGGTTTTTGCCTTACAGGGGATCCTCGACTTACAACAGTTCATTTATAGTGACTGTTTGAAGTTACAGCGGTACTGAAAAAAAGGGCTTATTACCGTTTTTCACACTTACAACCGCATCCTCATGGTCACGTGATCAAAATTCAGAAGCTTGGCAATTGACCCATATTTATGACCTTGGCAGTGTCCTGGGTCAAGTGATCGCCTTTTGAGTGCTTCTGATGAGCAAAGTCGATGGGGAAGCCAGATTCACTTAACAACCAACTTAACAACAGTGATTCGCTTAACCACTGTGACAAAAAAAAGTTTTAAAATGGACCCAAGTTCACTTAACAACTGTCTCATTTAGCAACAGAAATTTGGGGTTCAATGGTGGTCGTAAATTGAGGATTATCTGTATTTTCTGAAGCTTGTTTAAACGTTGTGTACTGATCTTTTTTTTCTCCCCAAGTTGGCAGCAGTCAGTTTTTCCTGCTTCCAAAATGTCAATATTCATACAGCTTTTATTACCTGTTTTTCATCATGATGGGGGCAATAACCCAGTGTTTGTTTTAATTCTCTCAGTCAGTATTGACTCTCATTGCCTTCTTCCGAGGGTGGAGAAAGTGGCTGGGCCAAGGTCACTCAGCTGGCTTGGTGCCTGTGGCAGGACTAAAACTCAAAAGCCTTGGTAGTACAAGGGTTTAAGGCACCCTGTTATTAAGCTTATTAAGACCAGCTGCCTGCAATTACTGCAGGGTTCGAATCTCGCCAAGGCTCAAGGTTGACTCAGCCTTCCATCCTTTCTAAGGTAGGTGAAATGAGGACCCAGTTTGTGGGGGCAATAAGCTGACTTTGTATAAATATACAAAAGGATGAAGGCTATTGCTGAGCACATTGTAAAGCCGCCCTGAGTCTTCGGAGAAGGGCGGCATATAAATCAAATTTAAAAAAAAATAAAAATGCTTAGATGATGCCTGAAACCATTACACCAAAGTAGCTCCCGGTAATTCCCATAAAAATCTATAAAATGTCCCTTTAAGCCAGGGGTCCCCAAACTTGGCAGCTTTAAGACTTGTGGACTTCAACTCCCAGAATTCTCCAGTCAGCTATGCTGGCTAGAGAATTCTGGGAGTTGAAGTCCACAAGTCTTAAAGTTGCCAAGTTTGAAGACCTGTTTTAAGCCCTCCCTCGCTTCAGTTTCATCCAGAGTTATGTGTTTCTCCCTCTTCTTTCACTTCCAAAGCAATTCTTTTTAATTTCCAAAATCGTCTTGCATTTTCTCTTGGAATATTATTTATAGTCAATATTATTTATAGTCTGCTCTGTGAATTGGAACTACAGTTTTTGCCATGATTTTTCTTTTTGTATACACATAATACAATATTATCCTTGCACTTTCCATTTTTTTCCAGCAAACATGCCTTTATATGCCTTTTTTCCCCTTGTTCACCAGACAGTTATTTTCATTGTTTCTGTAAGTGTAATTTCATATGCTTATTTTTAAAGAAATGAAAACATTTTGCTACTGTCTCCCAAATTGGCAGTTGAAATAGGCAGTAGGGTGCCAGCCCTGCTTACAGTTTTCTGTGTAGTAAGAATCGGGTGCAAATCCGTAAACTCTTCTACCAGTTTTGCTGCAATTCTCAGAGGACCAATTATAAGTTTCCCTTTTGCCACTTACAACAAAATTTAGCTCTTGGGAGTGTGAACAGCATGTGACCATAGAATAGGGCTCATTTAAAGGGAGAGCTGTTGATGTATTCTGATGAATTCCTAAATTAAGTTCATTGTTTGGTCTCCATCCTGTAGCTCAGGGGTGTCAAACTATTGCATTGAGGGCCTTATCAGAGCTGTGTTTGACCTCGGGAGGGGTGGGCATGGCCAGGATGGGTGTGACCAGCTCGACGTCACCCTTGTTGGGGACACCTGTGGTGGGCCTGGGGGGATTCTCCTGCAGCCCTCTGCCAGCAAAAAGCCTGGGAGGGCCGCATGTGGCCCTCCCGAGCTCCCATTTTCACTGGCAGAGGCACCACGCCCAGTCCTTCGCTATTTCCAGGGCGGCCCGTGGATCAGATCTAAGCACCCAGTGGGCTTTGAGTTTGACACCTCTGCTGTAGCTCAACACATACAGGTAATCTTCAACTTGCAACCTAGTATCAGTGGTTCATGTACTCATATCCTCAGAATTTTCTTCATGTGGTCACCCATAAAGTCAGCACCAAAATTTTACTTGGCAGAGAAAGCAGTTGTGCAGTAATGAGTGTGATGATGAATAGAACCACCTTCGAAATGACCAAACAACTTGCTTTGCCTTTTGTGTTTTTGAACACAATTCAGGGTGCTTACTAGAGTATACTAAGGCATAGGACAACATGATGTAGGAGAAGAGCCAGCAGAATGAGTAAAGCAATTCATCAGCCTAGAGTCGTTATGTTCCCACCAACCCTTCCTGAATTCTGTTGACCCTTATCTGGTGTGAATAAATTCAGGAATTCAACAGAATTCAGGAAGGGTTGGACTCGACTCGTTTTGCCTGCTCTTCTCTTCCATCAAGTTGTCTTAAACACCTAACTTTGGTCTAAGTCAGGGGTGTCAAACTGGCGGCCTGCGGGCCAGAGGTGTCATGCCCAGGCCATGCCCACCCCAGCTCTGCGAAGGGAAAAAAGATCGCAATTCGTCATGTGACGGCAGTGTGACGCCACGACTTTGACATCCGTGTTCTTAAGTTGTGTAAGGCTTTGTACATTATAGTTGACTAGATTCTTGTTTTTGACACTTATCTCGTGTGAATAAATTCTCACCAGATAAGGGTCAATGGAATTCAGGAAGGATTGGACTCAACTCGTTCTACATCAAGTTATCTAGTCACTGCATAGGATGGAGCAATAAATCTTCTGAACTGGAACTTAATTATGCCCTGATCCTTCTCAACTGACATTTATTCCTTTACTGTTTGCTTTGCGTTCTTGGGTCAATAACAGGGCACTGTTTCCAGACCTTGCTACATACATTTTGTTGCAATTACATGTAGTCCTCAATTTACGACCACAAGTGAGCCCAACATTTATGTTGCTAAGTGAGGCATTGGTTAAGTAGGCTTTGCCCCATTTTATGACCTTTCTTGCCACATTTGTTGAGAGAATCACTGCAGTTGGTAATTGAATCTGGTTTTCCCCATTGACGTTACTTGTCAGAAGGTCGTAAAAGGCCATCACATGATCCCAGGACACTGCAGAGGTCATAAATGATCACTTGGTCAGTTGCCAAGTATCTGAACTTTGATCACATGACAATGGGGATGCTGCAACAGTCATAAGTGTGAAAAATGGTCATAAATCACTTTTTTTCAGCGATGGTGTAACTTCGAGTGGTCACTAAATGAACGGTTGTAACTTGAGGGCTACCTGTACTTTGGGGGTTTTTCCATAATGCAAGTGGAACAAACTGTTGCTGGATTTAAACCAGATCCTCTCCTTGTTGCTGAACAGGGATTTTAAATTATTCCTGCTCACCTAGAATATAAGATTAAATGCCTTTTACGGAAGCTGTGATTGTTTCATTTTTATTACAGGTAATCCTTGACTTGTGATCTATTGCTTAATGACCATTCAAAGTTATAATGGACTTACGACCTTTGTTCTCAAAGTTACAAGTGCTGCACTTCCTGGTCATGTAATTGCATTTTGGGCACACGACAACTGACGCATTTATGACTGGTTAAAATTCTGGAGATTCTCAGTCATCCAGGTCATGGTAGTCTCAAAGGTGCTTTTTCAGGAGGCGACTGGACTGTCTTGTTTTTCTTTGAAGACGTTTAGCTTCTCATCCAAGAAGCTTCTTCTGATTGGATGGTGGGGAATGGAAGGTTTTATTCTCCTTACAGACAGTTGGTCATTTGCATGGATGTGGGTGACCCTGAGGACACAGATAAACCTCCAAGTGGCCTCAATGACTCTCTAAAAGAATGCAAATGACCAACCTGTCTGCAAGAAGTATAAATCCTTCCGTTTCCCACCATCCACTCAGTGCTGAAGAAGCTTCTTGGATGAGAAACTAAACGTCTTCAGCAAAGAAAGGAAAAACAAAGTTTAGCTGCCTCCTGAAAAAGCACCTTTGGGACATTTATGACTGGTTGCAATATCCCACTGTTACATGATCAGGTTTTGTGACTTTTTTGCCATTTTCTGACATTGGATAAACTGGATTTAATTCACCTGATACACTTAACAGCTGTTGTAAAATCAAGTCTGATCTTGTGATGACTGCAACAACTGACGATCAAATTTCCCAGCTGTAAGTCGAGGTCTATAGTACTTGTACATTTTGAAATAGGCAGCATATCCATTTTCTAAGTAAGTAAAGTATGTGGTCCTCCATTCTATGTCCCTTAAAACAAACGCATTTGGGTTTGCAAAACCTGTGGGGTTTTTTTCTTCTCTCGAACAACTGAAGCATCAATTATACTGGGCAAATAGTTTTTGACACCTGTTTTTATGTCTTTATTTCATCCCAGAGTGACCCTGTTTAAAAATACATATATTTTGCAGAGGCCGGTTCAAAGCTGCAGTGGGCATTCTTTCTGGAGTCACTACATGCCTCGCCTTTGTGAAACCCGCCATTAATAACATCTCCTTGATGACATTAGGACTTCCCTGCAGCGCCCTGCTTATTGCAGAACTTAAAAGGTATGTACCAGACTGACTGAGGCAAAGCAGATAAATTATGTTTAATTCATTTATTTAGATCCCGCCTTTATTATTTTTACAAATAACTCAAGGCGGCAAAAATATCCAACACACCTCCCTCCTCTTATGTTCCACACAACCACAACTTTGTGAGGGGACTTGGGCTGAGTGGGAGGAACAGGCTCAAGGTCATCCAACTGGCTTTCATGGCAGAGGCAGGACTAGAACTCGCAGTCTCCCACTTTGTAGCCTGGTACCTTACTCACTAGACCAGGGGTCAGCAACCTGCAGCTCTGGAGCCGCATGTGGCTCTTTCACCCCTCTGCTGCGGTTCCCAGTCACTCAAAATATGTGTCACAATGTGCGACACCTGCTGGCATGCGATTTATCGAGCTTTTCAACCGTTTTATCCATGGTAGGCCAACCAGGGATAAAATCCAAGAAAAGAAAAGTTTCAGAAGAAAATAGAACGTTTAATTCAATTACATATGCTAGTTTTGTGGCCGCTCAGAAAATAGTCAGGCACGGGAAGGGGTTTGTGGCTCCCGGTGTTTCTTTTCTGTGGGAAACGGGTCCAAATGGCTCTTTGAGTGTTTAAGGTTGCAGACCCCTGCACTAGACCAAATAGGCTCTCCAATCCTGGCACAGTTTGTTCCAGCACAATCTCATTCCATTTCTAGTTGAAAGTTGTCCTTTGGCTTTTTCAGTGGTAGTGTGGTCCTAGGAGAAGTACTCTTAGTCTCTTCCATCCCCCGTCCCCTTTATAAACTTGCTTAATACATAACGTAAGGTGAACTTAGTACCTCCTAGTGTAGCACGTGGCCTGAATCCCCTTTTGAGACTTTAAAAGCTCTGATGTTAAATACAAAGAATACTCCCCTAAATACAGAACATGGACTAGATGCCACAACACGGGACAGCCATCACATCAAAATTCAAACCATCTATGGTAAATGTTCAAAAAAGTTCTCATAATTGTAAGTTATGGACCAATGTAGCGGTGCCATGTAAAGCAGTGGCCCCCAACCTTTTAGGCACCAGGGACCAGTTCAGTGGAGAGAGATTTTTCTGTGGACGGGAGGGGCGTAGTTTCACATGCTGCCTGCACCCCGCAGATGGGCCTTCGCTTGTTTACATGGTCCAGTTGCTGGCATGCCACGGCCCAGTGCCGGGGTTGGGGACCCCTGATGTATAGAATACACACATGCAACTAATATAAATTATATATATACAATACCAAACTTAAACCAAAATTGAACTCATGGAAGAAATCTGACAGATTTTCTTCTCACTAAGCAAAAATCATCTTCCCCCAAGTGTTACTGCCGTAATAAAGAGCCTTAGGTGATAGTATATTGGTGCAAAAGGAAGCAAAATTCTTCAAATTCACCTTTTTAGATAGAAGGATAAATCCAGTAAGATCAAAAGCTATAACATCTCTTAAAATTGAAATTTGGTTGCTTGCATGTTTCTGGTCAGCTATGGTCCCAAAAGGTAGTGGCTAAATTGCTGTGTGGTTTTTGGGCAGAGCTTCGATCAGTCCATCTTGATTGTTTGGACCCTAACCTGTAGACGTTCCTACCTTTGATATTTCATTTGTGTCAATCAGTAATTCAACAGACTTAACCAAAAACTGTATTTTGATTAATAATCCAGGTTGACTTGGCTTGATTTAAACTTCCACCAGTTTTATTCATTTACACTATTGCCGATGTAACTCCCAGTTATCACTTTTCTTTCTAGGTGTGACAATGTCCGAGTTTATAAGCTAGGACTGTTTTCTGGCCTGTGGTGGATGTTGGCACTATTTTGTTGGATTAGTGACAAAGTATTTTGCGAGATTTGGTCATCTTTTAATTTTCCCTATTTACACTGCGTATGGTGAGTCTTCGTTTTAGTCTCCTTTTTAAAGTATTTGCCTTTACTGGTATGTATCTGTTTTCATTGCAATAGCAGCATAGTTTCTTGGTGTGTTTCATATTAAAACCAGATCTTGCGTAAGGTGTTTTTGGTGATTAGTTTGTTCCATGAATCAGTCAAGTTAGATAGCACCAACAAAATAAATTCTGGTAGAAAAATATATTTCTGCTCCCTCATTTGTGTTCTGACAGTGGCATATCAAGATCCGCCAGAATAAGGAAATTGCTGGGCCTCCTTCCATAACTGGAGGCTGATATTTTTGGTTGGAGGTGCTACAGATTTTCAGTAGGCGGATCAATGACACAAGATAGGAGAGGGATTACATAAGGGGCAAAGATTTTTACTACTTTAAGACTTTACGATCTGTGGACTTCAACTCCCAGAATTCCCCAACCAGCTATGCTGATTGAGAAATTCTGGGAATTAAAGTCCACAAGTCTCAGAGTTGTCAAGATTGGACACCTCTGGTTTAAACCATTATTCCCCAGCTACAATCAATGACTCCTATTTTTATTATCAAATTTCAGAGTCCGAAGACCTTTGAAATCATTAAAAAATAGTCCAGTGGTTCCAGGTGGCCCACAAACCAAGGATTACCACCATTTCTGCTTCAAATCCTGATTTGAACCCTATTTCCCATAAATCATAGACCCAGTACTCAGAAAAGCAGCTGATTCATATTGTGAGGTCTCAAATCAGGATCTCTGAGAAAGGAAGTTAATTTGCCTTCTTTCCAGAGAGGAAAAAAATTGCCAATGCACATATAAAAGTGTTAACAACTCCCCCTGGGCTCTCTCAGTATCCTTGAGTTGAGCTCTGGGATCCATGCTTGCCTTCACAATGCACACAGTCTCTTCTACGCCTTGTTTCCAGGGTGCCACAGACGGCAGAGCAGTTACTGAACGTTTTCTGCATTGTTGTGTGAGCAGTATAAAAATAAAAAACTTTTACAAAAGCTCTCCATTTCTTGAGAAAGCTTCATAGTTTTCCTTCGCTGCAAAAGTCCGTAAATTTGCTACTTCCACTGAGCGATGCCCCTCCTTGTGAAACAATGCAGAGAAGAGCAACAAAATGATTAGGGGGCTGGGAAACTAAAACATACGAAGAGCAGTTATAGGAATTAGGTATGCCTAGTCTAATGAAAATAAGGACTAGCGGGGACATGATAGCACTATTCCAATATTTGACAGGCTCTTACAAAGATTGGGGTGTGTATGTCTAAACTATTTTCCAAAGCACCAAAAGGCAAGACAAGAAACAGTGGATGGAAACTAACCAAGGAAAGAAGCAACTAGAACTAAGGAGAAATTTCCTAATAAAAAAGTTATGGGTGCTCCATCACTGAAAGCTTTCAAAAAAAAAAAAAAAAAGACTGGATAATCATTTGTCCAAAATGATATAAGGCCGTGATGGCGAACCTATGGCACGCATGCCAGAGGTGGCACGCAGCGCCCTCTCTGTGGGCACGCGAGCTGTCGCCCCAGTTCAGCTCCACCACGCATGTGCGTGCACCTCCCACCAGCCAGCTGGTCTTTGGGCCTCTGCTGCATAAGAGTGGGGGGGCGGGGCGCATGCGGGGGGCTGCACATGCACAGGGGTGGGCATTTGGGGGGCATGCGTGCATGCACGGGGACCGCATGCACATTGCCTTTTGGGGGTTTGGGCATGTGCGCATGCATTCACGCGTGCACACCCGTGCTTTGGGCACTCGGTCCAGAAAGGGTTAGCCATCACTGATATAGGGTCTCCTACTCTAGCAGGGGGTTGGACTAGAAGACCTCCGAGGTCCCTTCCAAATCTATTAGTCTATGTTCTAAGACCTGAAACCGAAGCAAACCTCAGTCCTTTCCCTTCTCTCTTTTCCAGGCACATCCTCATCTGTATTGCAGCTTACCTGGGCTGCGTCTGCTTTGCCTATTTTGATGCTGTCTCCGAGATCCCCGAACAAGGCCCCGTCATCAAGTTCTGGCCCAGTGAGAAGTGGGCATTCATCGGGGTGCCCTACGTCACTCTCCTCTGTGCTCACAAGAAGTCTCCCCTCAAGATTACTTGAAAGGCAACGGAAGTGTCCCGTCCTCTTTACCTGCTGTTTTTCTCCAAAAGGCCTGAATCTCTAGTGGGAAGATTGGCTAAGGGGGGTCCTTGCACAAGCAAAGGACACCTAATGAGGTGGCCAGAGCAGAATCTCCAAAAAAAAAAAAAAGTTTGTTCTGAGTGACCTAAGAAATGCCTGAATCTGTACGACGAGGAAGCACGGAAAGCAGAAAGCCTGTATTTCCACAAGTGCACCTCCCCCCCATCCCAAAGTAAAGCAATTTCCCTTCTGTTTTGACTGCCTGTCACACCCTCAGTGGGCAGGGAACTGGGTGACATCTTACCCTGCCACATTAAGCAAGGAAGAATGGAAAAAACGGGTGTGGGTGTCTGCGAGTATGTTGATGGCTGTGTTCTGGTTGGGAAATAATCACCAGATTTATGTATTAAGGATTTAACAGAATTGCTTTGCAGATGTCCCTCCTTTGCTGCCGGTGTATATTTACACATTAATTGAGCAAATGAAATCCCTTTAAACTCTGCGGTCAGTTTAAGAGGGGAACAATCCTTGAGAAGCTGGCTCTCTTCTTAATCCATCAAAATACCATAAACCTGTGGCAATGTTGGGTATTTTTATCCATATATAATAGTTCACTCGTTGGAGACTTGTTTACTACAGTTCAGAAAATAAAGATGTAGGAGAAAAGTCAGTGAAGGAATAAAAATTGTCTGGTTGTAAGGCTTTACTCGGTCTCCAGGCAGTTAAGTCATATTTCAGCCGAGTTCTCAGAAGGAGAGCAATTCAGCAATCATCTACCAGATTTCTGCAAAACAAAAAACAAAAAACCAGTTTATCTCTCAATCTCTATTTTAATTCCATGTTCTTTGCAAGCAAGCAAATGAACTTGGAAAGGTTTGAGTTTAATTATCCGTCTGGTTTGTTTTTTGTTTTTTTTGCCTCTTGTTACCATGACACACTTTTAGGAGTTAGTTATGTAGAGAGCAATCAAGCCTCATTATTCACTTCCATTTTTAAGCAGATGTAACTAAATTTCAAGGGCAGCGAAGAATCAGCGCTTTGGCTTGTGCAGGTGTTTGAAAACTTCTTAAATTGTGCATGAGTTGGGGTGTTTCCCAGATTCTGAAATATTTGAACCTTTGTTAAAATACATGTCAGGGATTCAATGAAATCAAAATGGTGCTTGTGGCCATGTGGTTAAAAGTTCAGTCCTCCCCCCTTTTTTTTGTGATGCAGGAGAAAAAAAAGGGGCTTCAATTGTATACTCACTATTATTATTATTTTTTGACTGACCCTGTAGATGATCCTGCAGTGAGTCCTATGAATTTGGAGCTTTTAACGTCACTTTTTAAAGAATCCTCTCTTTTGTATTTAAATGCTTTCAATTTAAGGTACGGGCTAATATAAGATGAGATGCCCTATAAATAATCGGCCATGGCTTAGTAGTTTGGGTGGAAAAGGAAAATACAGTCTGCAAATAACTTGGTTTATTTTCTAGCATACGCAAAAAACAAAAGCAGGCATTTCTATCCCTGGATACAAAGCCAAGATAAAGTTGTAAACAAGGGGGGGGAAATCACTTCTTGCATCAAACGTTTCTCAATTGCTGATGGACCAAGCTGGGTAAATATCTGTGCTTGATTGTGGAATTGAATTGGATGTTTCGTTCCTTTCTATTCCATTTGGCTGTGACTGCTCAGTTCCTTGATGCATTGCCAGAAATGTTGCATGGAGCATGAAATAAATGGGGCCAACTTTCCCAGTTAGGAGCCACTGGCTGTGTGGAACTTTTCCAAAGTGAGTTGGTTGAGACAGCTTTATCACTGTGGGGAAGCTCTGGACCGGCCTAGTTCCATGCCTGTTTGTGAGTGAGTGCCGCAAGGCTCTGTCAGCACGGCCTAGTCCCCCGTTTTAGGACAAGATAATTCAGTGGTCCCCCTTTGAGCTACAGTGTTTGGTTCCTGCAGTCGAAGAATGGAAGACACATCTGTATTTTTCAAAACCGGGACAGTCTACCTTAGTGAATATCAATAGAAGTTTCCCCCTATGACTTGAGGCACATTTCATTGGCCAACCGGTTACAAAATAAGTGCAGATGAAATCGCAGCACAGCAATGATACAGTTGTACTTCGCCAGTTCCTCCCCCATCTCTTGCCAGCTGATTACCAGCACAGACCTTAATCCCATACAATTTTGAGTGTTGGGACAAACTCTGAATTCTGAGTGATTTGAGGCAGCTATTTGAGGCCTTTACATTGTTATAGGAGTGGATAGGCAAGGGGTTCACTCTGCTTGTTAGCTAGTTATTGGTATTCTTAAATAATTGCCAGGGGTTCACACCCATTTTGCTGCTAGGTGTTGCAGGTTCATTGGGAGGACTCTGAAAAATGCAGCAACCGACAAAAATGGGATGAATATTGTGGAAGGGCAGAAGGTTAAAGGATGATTTCCCCCCTTTTTTAAACAAAACAACAATTAGGGAATTTGTCCCGCTGAAAATTGACAGTTGTACGTCAGTAAACCAGCAGCAAAATTTGTAGTGTTCTGGATATTGTAAAATGCGTGCTGAAAGACCACAGATCACTTTATTTTTATTTTATTTTATTTAAAAAGTTATCCATTTTTCCCTTAGTTTGCAGTTCTCAATTACTATTACTATCAAGCGTTTGAATCTTGAAATATTTGTTTACAGGGTTACAAGAAAATAAAAAGGAAATCAGTAATACTTCTTATCAAATTACTTTAGCAATTTGGGACACAAGCTTTTGAGTTTGGGAAATAATGTTTTTAAGATTAGATGGTCTCATCGAATTATTTAAGTATTTTCTTAGATGCTCCCGATGTTTTTTGTCTTGTATCAGCAACATTTTTTTAAAAAAATTACAACTTCTGATAATCATCTACCTACATTTGATGTGAAGTCAGCATGTGTTTGAAGAACAGCACAAGGCTGTACAGATAATTGGAAAATACGAAAGTGAACATTTACGAAATGTAAAAATTCTTCATTGTATGTGTCTCATTTTGTGGGGGAAATATGGAAAGGATTTTTCTAGTAAACAATCGTGGGGCACTGTTTAGTTAGAGTAACTCTAGTATCCAGTTGTTCAGTTATATCAACAAAAAAGTATTTTCCAGCTCATTCTTGGGGGGGGGGGAATGTGAATTTTCTTGGCTTTACTTGCAACTGGGGGGTTATTTCTTTCTCTTAAATACTTTTATGTACAGCATGTTCTGTAGTGACATATATTATGCTGAGAATACATTTTCATATGGCTGCTTCATTTGTTTTTTAAAGGTTAGGAGGTCCAATCATTCTCAGGTATATAATAATAATGAGTTTGAAAGCATCTGTGCTCTGCTTCTTTCCTTTATACATAATAGTGACAAACTTTCTCTGGGATGTAAACACTCGATTAAGGACTCAAGTTTGGTATCTTGACGATGTTTTGAAATTCAGTAAGCTTTTATGCAAAATCCACTCGGTTTTCTGTTGATGAACAAATGACTTCATTCTTCATTGTTGTACTGTAAAAAAGTACTGGTACTTCATTTGAAACATCTTTCTTAAAAGTGAGTTTGAAATACAAGCGATAATCTAGAAAAGTGGTCTCCAGATTTCTTTCATTCTGTACCCTTACCAATAAAACGGTTTTGATCATGCCCTCCCAATATATGTATGTTTATTGATTTATATGATATATCATGTGATGATGATATCCCTGTTCTTTGTACCAGTATGTACATTATAAAACAGACACTCAATATATTTTGTATACTCTTAGAATAGATTAATTTCCTACTTTTGGATAAAAATAAATGCAAATAGATATTTTAATATTTTCTTACTGAACCTCAATACATAATTTTGCACACCTCTGGGGTATAGGCATACCTGTTTGGAAACCACAGATGTAGAGAACTGGATATATATGCAATTTCTGTTTTCATCCTCCATGGCTGTTGCCTGATATAAGGCAAAAAAAATGGTAGTCGATGCTCTCATCATGGAAATATGTTTTGGCAGCCTTCACACCCATGTTTAGAGAAAACAGGCAGGGCTACTAAATGAATAAGAAAATATCTTGCACTAAAATTTGAAGAATTGGAAGAATGATTGTAATAAATGATGAAACATATTTAGGGTGGGTAATAATTTTATTGTGATTTTTTTTTACAGGATATGGAACTTTGAAGGATTTCTTAAAACAAGTGAGTTAGCATGTGTAGAACAAATGGAAGGAAATGGTGCCATTTAAAGGCTCTTTAAAGAGAGCAACTTTGAGGGCTAGAAACAGTTTTGTTTGGATTCAAAACAAACAAACCCCCAGAAGCTTAATCTTTTTAATTGTATACTCAAAAGTGCATCCTACTGAATTAAATCAAATTTGATACGAATTAAGCGTGTGGTTTGGTTTGAAGATTTCCTTTTTAAAAGCAGTCGGGATAAAATCCAACTCTGCAAATCGATTTTTGCTCAGGTAGTAGAATTTTGTTCATCTATGGAGAATCTCGGTCGTCCAGGTCATGGTTGTCCCAAAGGTACTTTTCCAAAAGGCAGCTGGACTTTTTGTTTTTCCTTGAAGACGTTTCGCTTCTCATCCAAGAAGTTTCTTCAGTTCTGGTAATAGAATTTTGTTTCTCTTGCTCCACACAGCTTGGTGGTTGAGAATGTTTGATATCTGCAGAGGGAAAGGCAGGCAGATCTCTATTATAGTAGCTCTTAATTTTGAGTCTGCAGTTGGATTTCATCCCTGTTTTTATATTAATTAAATGTATGTTCTTCCTATCAATATTGGGGGTCTGTTCATGGTGGTATCTGTTGGTAGTATTTGCATTTTTAATGTTAGAAGAACTCAAGTAGTGCAGGATCGGAAGATGTGGAGAGACACGGCCCATTGCCAAGAGTCAGAAAGGTCTGAATGAATATGTCAGAGTTCCAAGTAACGCCCCCAACGAAAGAAGACTCCGAAGCCAGAAGTTCCTCAAAGTTCCATTTTATTAGAGATGTCATATTGGCACATCTGGAAAAACCCGAATCTGAAAGCTTCCAGGTTTTCCCCACCCAGGAGAAAGAAAGTCCCTGCCCCAGCACCCACCTGTTCATCACATGGTCCAATCAAGGCACGGGCCCAACTGGAGACGCCTCCCAGTCACCCCACTCCAGGTGCAGGGCAGGATGTCCTTGACTCTCAAAAGAATGTTACTATGGCTAGATATCTCTCTACGCAATACAATCCCCCCTCCCAGTTTCCCACAGCACTAAACGTGGCAGCTCTGAAGATCCAAAGTAAAAGATGTCTTCCAGGACTGACAGAATAATAATCTCCTCTATGTTGTCTAGGCACAGAATTTTCAGCATATGGAATTTTAAAGATTTTTTTTCATGTCTTACATTCCCAAAGTTTACCAAATCTCATGTTCCTTATCCAGGCTATTTTTTTTTCTCTTGTTTTGAAAAGTTTTTGTACTTTGTATTTGTAAACTGTTCAGAGTCCTGGGAATCGGGTGGCATATAAATTTAAGAAATTATGATTGGTCACACAGCCAAATATTTAGACTGGATTTGGCATTTTTGTCCACCTATTGAGTCCATCTCAAGGAGTTGGGATAAGCATTTTTTATTTTTGCTAAGGGTTAAACTGGTACAAGTGAAGCTGATTTTTGCAATTGACCAAGGGTGATTTTGTCGATGCTAATGGTGTTCAAGTGGTCCTTCAGATGTTTTGGGACTCTACCCAAGGTACGTATTAGCATTGGTACTACCTTTGCTTTCTTCTGCCACAGTCATTCTATTTGCAGGTTTTTGTACTTTGTGATTTTCTCCAGTTCTTTATCTTCTTTTCTACAGGTATTTCCATAGCCACTCTCCAGATTATTATTTTTTTGTTTTGTCTTTCATATCGACAATTGTTAAGTTTGGGGTTTTATGTGGTAGGTGCTTGTTTATTTAAATTCTAAAGTCTGAGGGCACTTTAACGTCTTCATTTTCTATTACTTTGTCTATTTTGTGGTCCCACCAGTTCTTGCATGCAGGAAGATGATATTTCTTGCACATATTCCACTATATTCTTGTTGCTACTTTGTCATGCAGTTGTCTGCAGTCAGTCTTCACGATCATTTTGCAGCTCATATCTAGCTGGTCCACTGTTTCTTCAGCTTTTTTGCTGAATAATATAACAATTATATAAAAATTATAAAAATAAGACAGCATTTGCTGTCTTATTATTTGTGGGTAAACAGATTCGCAGTCTAAGAACTGGTGTGACCAATGATTTAAGAATGATTAAGGTAGCATCCCAAGAACATGGGGATGAGGCCTATAATCTTAGACAATAATATTAATGAAATAATGGACTCTGGGCTGAGAAAGAAAGAACGTCACAGTTTCGTTTTGGAGATTTTACCTCACTTGAGGTTCAACACGATCCGTAGCCATCTTCTTGGCCACCCTATTTAAATGCTCAAGAGTGAGAGAGTGTGGTTCTCTTCCTATGACCTTGTTAGTGGCAGAGAAATCCTTCTGCTGGAATATCCATTGTTTGTGGGCAATCCTTTGGAAATATGCATTAGTTTGACTTCCTTCTGCCATACATAGCATTTCACCCCCACCTGTCTCCCCCCCCCATAACCTTGTGGAAGTCTGTTCAGCTGAAAGAGATGGACTGGCCCAGAGACACTCATGGCTGAGAAGGGACTGGAATGTGGGTCTACCAAATTCAAATTCGGCACTTTTTAACTCCTGCTGTAAATTATGCCATGGAACGGAATGGAAACGGAAGTATGGTGCCTTCAGGGTGGGCAGCCCTGTTCCCACAACACTGATCTTGTAGATCGGACTCCGGCTGCACAATATCTGGGAGTCAGAAAGGTGAGAATCGCTGAGGGGGAGGCAAGCGTGTGGGGGGAGGCGATGCAATCACGGGACCCCCCCTCTATCTAGGACTGGAAGGGTCAGGCTGTCTTGTCCTTTGTGTGTGGGGGGGGAGGGGTTTCATTGATATTCCATTGCTGTGGCAGTGCATTGATTGGACAGGTCAGAAACAGGAAGGGGCTGTCATTTTTGGCAGCTGTGAAAAGATAACATGCTGTGCTCCTTTTTGTCAACCTTGATTGTTCCTTAAGTGCAGGACGTGCTGTTTGATCACCATTTCTGCAACCCAAAAAGACAGACATAGACTTCAGAAGATAATTAGAACTGCAGAAAAAACAATTACTACCAACCTGCCTTCCATTGAGGACCTGTATACTGCATGAGTCAAAAAGAGGGCTGTGAAAATATTTACAGACCCCTCACATCTTGGACATAAATTGTTTCAACTCCTACCCTCAAAATGACGCTATAGAGCACTGCACACCAGAACAACTAGACACAAGAACAGTTTTTTCCCGAACGCCATCACTCTGCTAAACAAATAATTCCCTCAAGACTGTCAAACTATTCACTAAGGCTGCATTACTATTACTATTAGTCTTCTCACCGTTTTCCTATCACCCATCTCCTCCCACTATGACTGCACGGCTGTAACGTTGCTTGTATCATTACAATTTATATTGATATTGATTGTTTCCTGATTGCTTATTTGTACCCTATGACTATCATTAAGTGTTGTACCTTATGATTCTTGACGAATGTATATTGTCCTTTTATGTACACTGAGAGCATATGCACCAAAGACAAATTCCTTGTGTGTCCAGTCACACTTGGCCAATAAAGAATTTTATTGTTACAAAATAAGCTTTTGGTGGGACGGGCGGTCTATTGGTGGTCCGTGAAACAGTGCCACACTCATGTTAGTATTCAGATGACCAAAAACTACTGCGTTTCCTGCTGCAGTTCCCTTCTGGCCTTTGTGTGAGAAGGAAGCACTTCATTCCACGAGAGGGCAATGTTGAGCTAAATTTAAACTTTTCAATTCATTTTGCAATGAATGCAACTTAAGAAGTAGCAGAAGCAGCAAAATAGTCCTATACCTATAAGGTACATTTCACGTATACCATTCATTTAGCATTTCACATGCAAAAAAAAAAAAAGGCTAGTTCTCCAAACAAATTTGTTGGGAAGAGTTTCTGCTTCCTTCTGCCTCTCTTGCCTATTCTCTTTTTGCTCCTTTTCCTGAAAACTCAACTACAGAGAGGTGTCGATCTGAAGAGGATCATGTGGGCAAATTAGGAAACAATTCACACTATTCAGAACTTGTGACTCTCTGCGTGTGTATTCTTGCTTGCTTAAATATAGCTTTGTTCTGATACTTTATGGAGTTTCAGAGCCTCTCCAAATCTGAACACTACCTAATCCTGAAGCGAATGGCTGAATGGAAGGTATCCACATCCTATTTACTGTAATGATCAATGGCAAAATGAGCGAACTGGTTTTTTGTATAGAAGGAACTGATTTTTCTGTACTGATTTAACATTATTTGCAAAATGATGTTCTTGCCCTTCCATAAATGGCTGAAAGTAATGTAAGTTGCATCGGTTTTGATGGTGGGATGACAGCCAAAGATATGAAAAAGCAATTCTGGGCTTTTTATTGTCCTATTTTAGAATAGATTTTAATAGGGTCAGCAAATGAAATGCACTTTGCAGGAAGAGCTGAAAAGTGCAAGTCAACTCTTTCTGAAAGAACGTAGATCTGACAGGTCCATTTCTTTCAGTGAAGTTATGACAAT